AGGCAGAGGTGGGTGAATCGGGGGGGGTGGAGGAGAAGACACGGAAAGATAAATAAAAATGGTGACAGGTGAGCAAAGGAGAGACACGGGTGAGAGTCAAAGAGGCAGCTGCAAAATAGAGAGAGAGAGAGAGAAAAAAATGCATGGAAAGACAGAAAGAGAGACAGACTTGAAGCCAGAGACAAGAAAAAGCAGGTCAGCCTGTGATGCACAAGCTCACTTGTGGATTATCGATCCTCTCTGTGGGCAATTAGAGAGATCAGTTTCTGGCTCCACTGTCCATCAGGAAGGTCAGACTGAGATGTTTCCATTACTGCTGGAGAAAGTTTCAACGTCACTCCTCCCTCTGCACACTGCATTTATCAGCCGTAGGAGGACCAAAGCGTACTATTCCTCTTCTTTTAGCACTCTCAGTCAGTCAGTCCTCAAGACTGGGTCAGGGGAGATTTTATTAGGATATCCAAATAAATTTGCAGAATTTCTTTTATAGCCTTTGATTTAACATTGATATCTGCAGTACACCTTTGGGCCACATGGGGAAGCCTGAATGTTCGTATTGTTCTGACAATTGTAGTCGACTTATAACATTGAATCTGAAAGGAAGATGTATGTTCTGTTTGTTTTAATGAGAGGAGATGAAAAGAATGAGATAGCCCGTTTACTCCGCCTAAATGTATTTGTATTTATTTGCATGTGTATATGTTTTCCATAGCACATGCATAAAACAAAGTTGTGATTCATCAAACGTATATCTTTTCTAAATGTCTGGTTTGCCTGTTTAAGATAAATGCAGAAATGGCCGTAAAAATGGTCAAGAATGTGAATTGACGCACAAAGTCGGTCTTCTCAGAACTTAAAGATAACACCTATTGTGAATTAGGTCATGATGGTGTGTCATTTTTAGTGGGTTCTCAGAAAAGAAGTTAGGGAAACACTACTCATGTACTCTGTTTCTTTTTCCTTCCTCAGACATGACATACGGTACTTGGCCAATAACTAAAAGAGGTAAAACCAGCAACACATACAAGCAGAAAATATCTATAATCATTTCAATTCTTCCTTTATTCACACTGAAAGTATTTCGAATGATTTTGGCCTGCAGAGATGGGATCAATTAAAGTTAATTTCTGTGAATTTAAAATCAATGTGAACCACATAGCAATGGCCAAATCTCTAATCTGAAAAATATTGAAGGAACAAAATCTCCTTCTTTTGTTTATAAATCATATATTTTAAACTTAGGCTTTAATTTTGAACAAAGTGTGTTTTTATACACAAGAAATGCAATAAGTTGACAATGTTTTGCAGTGTTGAATAAACTGTATGAGACTCTATGAGACTCTTTATCTTCAATTTTGACAAAAATGTAACTCAAGTGTCCTGAAAGTGTGTGTGTTATGTAAGCATCTCCATAAGCACGATATGTTTTATGATGTGCGGTGTGTTTACGATAACAAGGTGTTTCATCTACGAAGTGCAGACCTGAGTCAGCTGATGCAGGAGGCCAGTTTGCGCACTTTGACAACATAACATGAATTTGTGCTTTGTCATGTTATGGAAAAGATACATTTTATTTTTTTTTGGGGGGGGGGCTGTGACATTGCCCTGTGCTGCACTGATTATCATGTTTTGCTGACCAGCCACGACCCAAACTGATGAGTCGAGCTGATGATTTATTGATGAAGGGCCTGCATGCACAACAAAGCGCCTCCGTTTACTTACCCCGACGAGGACTGTGTCATCTCCTTGGAATTTGGGGATGAACTGGTCCCCACGTACAATCTCCGACTGGTTGAGAGGACGAAAGCGACACAGCACTTTTATGTTACACTCCGCAGGGATATCGGCCATTGCGCAGATTCAAGGAGGAGGAAGGATGCTGCTTTATGCTGAGCTGAGGGATGCTGCTGAGGCTGGAGGCGAACCGTCGCTGATTGGGCCTGATCCGAAAATAAACGACGAGGGGTGCGCGAGGACTTCGTCTTTCTACGTCGAAAGGACTCTGAGGACCGTGGAGAGGTTGGACGGTTTTATCCCGGCAAGCCGAGAGACGATGCAATCTATTTGTGCGCAGCTGGACGGTCGTTCCTTGTCGCAGAGAGGCAGGCAGGCTAAATTAGATGTCAAATCACAAAACGATCGCCTACATCATTAAAAACCACCGACTGTGATGTTACTCGATTCTCCGTGTTGGTTTGTTTGACGCTGTCTTTCTCTCCTGAGTATTTATTTTCTTTTCCCTTTCCTTTCGGGTGCGGCGGTGAATGTGCGTCAGGCCGGTTGAAGGTGAGATGCTGCTGGAAGGGCAGTGAGGTAAAGCTGCTGATGATCGGCCTGCGTTGGACGCTACAGCGCCCTCTATCGGGAAAATAAAGGAAGGGCGTGGTCTGCATCCGTCTCTTTAAAGTGGTACCCACACAGCCTCGGCATCATCTCCCTCACAGATCAGGCGGAAACCAGAGCCCCGTGTTGCAGCGTCACATCCTTACAGAGCCATCAAGGATAATTTCATTCCCTTGTGTAAAGCGGCAGCCAGGCCCGATGATGCAGTGACTAATCTTCAAAGTCATACCTTGGCCCATCTCCGATGCCACACTGTATTTCTTGGAAGGTATAAGACATCATTATGGGAAGGCAGTGGAAATTATTGATTAAAAGATGAGTTTAGGCCTCATATTAGGCTCCTTGAAGGAGCATCAGTGTCTGGTCAGACTGGGATGATGCAGCACAATGTCAAAACTGAAAAACACATCAACATGCCCTTTAAATAAATACTTATACAACTTTCTTACTATGAGCCTATATATTTTTAAGATATTTTGATGAATGACAAATAAACATCTTCCTTCACTGGAGGTAATACACTTGGATTTGCTGATTTACTGAAGGTCAACAACAACGCACAAATAATCTGTAACTTTAACCCCGTCTTTATAAGAATATTGTGTAGTTGACACTTGACTGGGACACATAAACCCTCTCCTTGGGACTTCTTTGGAGTGTTTTGAAATATGTACATTGACAGTAATTTAGCAGGTATGAGACTTCCATTTGAAGCTATCAAACAAACATCTTGATATTTTTTGTAATAATAGCCTACAATGCTTTAGCGCATGTTCATTATAATCCTTCACGTGTGAGAGTTCAAGGCTAATCCGGATACCTATAAACATTTTTTCACTGAAGAGAAATCAACACAAGGTACATTTTCTGTAAATAGTTTAATATTAAATAAAAAAAGACTCCCATATAAAAAAAGAAAGCTACAGTCCACAATTTAATCGTCTTTTTAAACATAAGTATTGAAAGCAAGGGGTAGAATGAGAAAAATACTTAATTACAATTCCCAGAAAAATTCACAATTTATTGTTTTCTCTCTTGTCTCTTTCTCTAACAATATAAAATCAAAATAAAACACATTAACTGTACATATGTACAAATCTCCAAGTGTAGAAATTGCATAATCTGCTTTCTTTTTCACTTTCTTTATTCTTTTTTTTTTTTTTTAAATACAGCAAGAGATGCCAGTACTCTTGGGGCAGGGCAGTGTGTGGAGGAGAGCTCAAACAGTGACATGAGGAGACAGAGGGAAGAAATGACTCCAAATCCACAGTAATACACAGACTCAAAAGATCTACGCAAGACGTCATCGTTCACTGTGTTTCAGTTATCCAGCCGTTCGTTCAACCAATCAAATGACATACTGTTCTGTCATTTGTATGACCTCGGGATTCCTGCAAATATTCAATATCTTTTCCAGACATTTATCTCCCCGCTGAGGAGTGGACGTTCGGGTGAGGTGTGAGATCAATGGATACTAAATGATCTCCATCACACCACAGCTTTGTGAAATTCTTCACCGTGACAAATGACAGCATGTGAAGTGCAAGTGGGTTTGCCGAAATGTGACAAATGATGCTCAAAGTTTTTCTGAGTTGTTCCACATTTATTGTGGACCTTGCAAATGTAAAAAAAACAAAAAAAAAACAGATGTTGTCAGATTCACTCTGTGAACATGTCGGGGTATCCCAACGCGTTTCATGACACGAGTCAAAAGTTCTACAAAAGAAACTTTAAAATAATGTTTTCTCAGTACAGAACATTATTGGTGACCACGAGGGAGCATCTCACGGGACACATGGAATTATGTTAAAGCAGTACTTTCTGTGTGGCTGATGTAAACGGACTCATGAAACCTGATAAGGTGAACATTATTTCCTTGGCTTGTCCCATATAAAAGATATTCTATACTTTGACAGAAAAGAAAACTCAAGTCTGTTCCTTCTTATATTCTCTTGCAGCACCTTCTGAAAACCCTTCAAAACATTTCCTTGAAATACAACCACCGTGTGTCTCTGCAGAGAACCCTTTGAGGGCCCCGTTCAATGAGAATGACTTCCACCAACGGTCGGACAGTGAGGGGCTCAGCTGTAGCACCGTTGTCCAACACACACTCGGACGCATAAAAAGACACACACACACACACACACACGTACAGACACACTTTCAACAGAGAGCATCGTTCAAGTAGTTGGGCTTCATCCTGACTCAGTTGTACACTGATGAGAAGAAAACACTACTCTTGTTTCTTGTGTGTTTTCTCATTGATATAATTCTAACAACAACCATATTTAACAGATCTCTGATCACAATGTCAAGCAACCATTATTTCGTGAACTAGACCCTAAGAGAAGAACTAAGTGAAAGAGTATCCACACAATTTCTCTTCAATTTGTTTGTTTTTTTTTTTACACATTTTTATAAATTAACGTTTCAGACTAGATCTCTCTCCTATGTGTTTTTCATAGCGGTTGCCATAACAATGATAACGGCATAATATTAGTGCAGTTGAACTAAAAAAAAAACGACGGGTCTAAACATTGGTGAAGATGTTGGAGAGATGGAGGGGGAAAGTGAGACGCCTGGCCGCCTTTGATTGGTGAACAGCTGTGACTTCCAGCTCCCTCCACCGATCACTGCCTCTGAGACCTGGCGCCTCGTCGCCTCCTGCCGCGGACCGACCTCTCGGGCTTCAGCAGTGCTGTCTGGAGCGGGACAGAGACAGAAATTACAGTCACATCAGCATTATCTCCTTCCCTCTGTGTGATGGAATGACTTTGCCACCGCAGTCAGAACTGCACCATCATTCCCAGTACGGAACAAAAAGATTCCTCTTCACATCGAGCATTTTGGTTTCTTCACAGGGTTGTAAGAGTACGGTGTACGAGACAGAATACTAACCCTCTAACTTCTGAGTCAACATGGACAAGAAGTCCTAAAAAAAATGTACATACAATGGTATGGCAACCCGGCAGCTCAATCTGCTGACGAAGATAATGTGGTATTATTAAAAGCTCACCTAAAAAGGATTGTTTTCTCAAATGCTGTTTTTTGCTTGAATGTTATTTTGTTTTTTATCTCTTGAAAAGATTTTCTATGACATTTGTTTGTGCTGTGCTGGAATTGCTGTGGTGCAAGCAAAGCACGCAAATGAAAACACTTTCTCTGTTACTTGTGTATTTGAATCATACAAAGGGAGTTAAAGCAGCCATTTGTTGATGTGGAAAATACTCTTGGTACTCTAAATGCCAACGTCAGCATGCTCACAATAACAATGCTAACATACTAATGCTTAGCAGGTATGTTTACCATGTTCATCATCTCTTGGCTGATGAAATGTTCTGCAGGCATTCGGTCAAATACCAAAGTATGGAACAGATTTAAAAAACAAAAAAAAAAAATGTCCTGATGATGGCGCTAAATGAAAAAATAAGGGATCACCAACATTATAACAATTCCTCCTGAAGGGGAACATGAATGCCTGGACCAAATTCCATGATAATCCATTCAACGCTTGAGAAGACATTTCATTCAAAACCACAAATGCGAACCTCATGGTCATGCTGGAGGAAAAGTCATTGAGTCAGGCGATAACATGGATAAAAGAATCCAGACTGTTGGAAAGTACCAGTAACACTGTAGTGAACAGCAACTGGAGAAGAAACAGAACGTATTTTAATGTAATAAAAAGTGAGAGGTAGGCCTAATAGAGAACTAGTGCTTCTGATAATTAAACCAATACATCAGAGTCTTACCGTGGCCTTGGTTTCCTCTAGTGCTGTAGCATCCATGTCTCTGAAGTCTTCCAACACATTCTGTAGCCTGATAGGCAAAGTAAGAAACACATTAACACACAATACACCACAATACACCCAAATATACCTGATACAGTCGTTATGCAACATCTTTGATTCATCACAGTGCACGGTATCAAGACGGACGCCACTAGGAATGTCACTGGAAATTGCATTATACGTGCGATTCAATGTCTAGAGCATGTCTGAGAAATGAACTGTCAACAAGAACACTTACGTTTGTTTCCTTTTCCTTCCTCTTCTGGCTCCACCCACTGCTCCCGCTTGATCCTGAGAGGTAAAAATCATAGTAAAAATGCAGTCATTGGAGTTAATCACAACGCCACATTCCTCTTTTATACAGTCTTTGGTCCATACCGTGCTACATTCTGGTGTCTCAGCAGGATAGTTATGAAGTCCCACTTTGTGATATAAAATCTTGTTTTCAAGTTTAAAGGAATCATGGAGACCCAGGCACTCACCCTTCCCTGTTCGGTGCGCAGCAGCATCCCAGAGGTCTCCTCATTGGGCCTCCCACTGCATCCATCCCTGGGACTGAGGTACCCCTGCCTGTCTACCCCCGCCTCCACATAAGGGCACACAGCCGCAGCAGGCCCCGTGCAGTCCGTCTTAGCCTCCTCAAAGTACATGGATGGCAGAGGAGGCTCTGGGTGGGTGTGTCCCTCTACCATCACTGGTTTCCTTTGTAAAGGTGACGTAGGCCCATCGTCAGTGGGTTTGGGCGTCCCTTGGGCTGGGGAATGGGCTGCTGCTTCCAAGCTGAGTCGGGATAAGTCTGGGTTGCGGAGGGAACAGGCCCGACGTGGGCTGAGGGAGATTGGGGCACTTGCCTGGGGCAGAGTTTGAACAGGGGTGGACGGGGTATGGTGTTCCACGGGGAAAGAAACCGGTGGTAAGGCACAGAAGGGTGATGTGGGGTCAGACGGCCCCATGTGGGCCCTGCCTTCCTGCTCTTTAGCACTGACTTGAAGGAAGGAGGTATAAATCGTGTCCATGAAGGAGGTGTAAGGATCGATAACAGACCTGCCCTCAGATACCCGCTGTTGGGGTGGGCTGTGTTCTCGGGCCGGGGCTGAAACTGGAGCTGGAACAGGACTGGGTACTACTTCGGGAGCCATCTGACTGGCTGGAATGTCTTCCTGTGGGGCAGGACTTTGTGTTTCCTGCAATGACATTGGCTTGTCTCCTTCTGAGGGTGGTGCAAGGTTTAGCTGGAGGAAAAAAAATAAAAAAGGTTCAGGCAATCATTGAAATCACAGCTGTAGACGGTGTTTTTTTCATTAGCTACTTGATCCAAATACTTAAAAGTCCGGGTTCAAAACTATTTAGTTTATAGCGTATAAATACAAATTAAATACAAGTTAACTGGGAGAATGGGTGTGACGCAATCCGATAAAGAGAAGACGTCTCACTCTGTTGGACTCTCAGTCCACTCGCGGTTGTAAAGTGGTGTTACAGAGCGGAGGAGTGCACAGACCAGCTGAGCGAGCACTTTAACCCGTCAAAAGCCAAGTATGATATATGTCCATCATCTAGTTACTCACAGAATAAAATGGAGGTAGCAACAGCTGTAAAGCCTGCCACTGGTGATGTTAGTTATTTTAACCGGCAATAGCAACAGTCAGCGCCGACTAAAGATGAGACGCTGTCCCCTGAATGGTTTATCCACTGAGCTACAGGCCAGGTACCTACCTGTAGGTTGTTAAGCAAGTTGATAGCTCCATCAGGACCCTGCAGCAGAGGCATGCCCAAAGCAGAGGTCTGGACTGAAGGTAGGAGGATAGAACCTGCCCCAATCCCCAACAAGTTGTGGAGTCCTGTGATGCCAGAAAGATCTCCTACAAAGATTTGTCATAGTTGCACTGATTTAATGGCTTACTGATACAGACTATCTGCAATGTTTCAAGCATTAATACTGACAACTGTTGGTAGTTTTTGCTGGTATAATTTCATTTATTCCAAACATACAGAGTGTATTCTTTAGAAAGAAGTGTTACACCAACTCACCTAATACAGCAGAGTTAAGCAGAGTGGGCAGTAATTGTTGGAGGATGGGGTTGTCTTTGCCTTGCAGACAGAGGGGGATGAGGGTGTCAAGACCAGCATCAGTCGATACCTTTGAGAATAGAGTACAGTAGAGGACCGAAGAGGAGTTTAGTTTCAGGAAAACAAATTACAAAAGCTTGAAACAAAGACAAAAATAAAAAAAGGTAGAGATAGGGTCAGAGAAATGCAGACTGGCAAGACACAGACAAATTCTTTACATTTGTATAAATGCAAAATTAAAAATGTTTGCAAAAACATGTGCATTCACACCTGCAGTACATTAAGATAGATGGGCTGTAACCAACCCTAAAAAGGAAGAGGCCTTCATTTGAAAATAATTTAGCGAAAACCATATTTTAGCTGTAAAGGAAAACGATTGATGGGTTTGTGAGGAAAATAAGTTAAACTAACACAGGGAGAAACAATGGAGCAGTCAAGGAAATTAACTCATAGGTTTTTCTCGGGAAACTATGGCGAGCTCAGAGGAAATAACTATAGGAGGTAGGGGAGCCTACCTGAGGTTGGGTATGTTGGGTTTGCTGTGCAGAAGCTAATTGGGTGTGGGGAGACGGGTGGAGCTCGGCAGAACTCAGGGCAGCAGAGAGCAAGGCAGGGCTGAGGGGCAGGAAGGCTGCGTGGGGATGAGGAAGAGAGGCAGAAAGGAGCAGAGACTGTAGGGCCTGGATGGTGCCCTCAGCTCCTGGGGGAAGAGAGAGAAGGCCTTGGGCGACCTCCAAGAGCCCTGCGCCCGATAGGGCTGAAGGATCCAGGAGACCAGAGGTCTTATCCAAGGTGAGGCCTTCCAATGTGGTGGTGATGTGTTGTGACTGCTGGAGAGGAACGTCTAAGCTCACCTGGCTCAACTGACCCAGCCCAGACAGAGGTAACAAAGGCGCCTGATGTTGCCCGAGTAACAAGGAGGCCATGATCAGAGCCTGAAGGCTAGCTTTTTCTGTGAGCCCTAAATCAGCTTCCTGTCCTGGGGTTGAGGCTGAAGGTGGGAGTGGATTCAGCAGGCCCAAAAGGTTCAGAGGCAGCTCTCCTTGTGCGCCGCTCAACAAAGGCAACAAGGGAAACAGAGGATTGTTGTTTAACTGCTTCTGTTGTTGATCCTGGTTCTGCTGCTGTGTCTCTTGTTGGTGTATCAGTAACTGCTGCTCCGATTGCTGCTGCTCTGCAAGAGTCTGTTGTGGTGCAGTGGCAGGATGTATCTGTGCATGTAGCCCTCCCAACCACAGCCCCCCTAGGGGCAATGAAGCTAGGACTGCTGGGTCCAGGAGGGATGGTAGACCTCCTGTGGATGACAGCAACTGAAGCAGCTGCTCTTGGTTCATGAAGGGGAAGGCCTCTGCCAGAGGTAAGGGAGAGGTTGAGTCACCCACAGCTGAAGGTGTATGAGGACTGTGATTATCCCCGAGACGAGAGGAGATAGCTGGCCTGGGGCTCGTGGCTACTGGAGGTTTGGTCGCTATGGAGCCCTTCGGGTCCACACATCTAGACTCATCTGGCCCTGTGGGAGAGACATGAATCATTTACATCTGTTCAGGCTGACTTATCAATCAGTGAACACATTATACACAAGGGGTCCTGAGCTGGGCAGTTTGCTGTGTTTTATCTGGTGGTTGACTCTGGTAAGTAATACTTAGCTTTACATTTACAAGATAGCAAAAGCACACCAATAAACACGTGCACACACGTCAATACCCAAAGAGGGTGAACCATGAGTACAGATGTGTATCCCTTGCCCTCAACCATCCTAAGAGCTACGATCATCCATAAAGCCTGATTTAAAAAAGGGAGAGCTCATGACACAGTTCATATAGAACAGACTTAAATGAGCTAAAGTTGAGAGAGTATCTTGATGTCTATGTGGGTGCATTTTCAGCATATTGCAAAGCTCTACAAGCCATGTTACATCAATATGTATTCGAATATTATGGTTGTATGTTCAAGACAAAAAAAAAGCACACTTCAGACTTAAAATATCTTCACCTGCAGCGGGATTTCCTTGAGAAGACATCACAACATCAGTGGTATGGTCAGAGGAGCTGCCCTCCCCCTGTGGTACGGAGGAAGATGCTGCGAGAAGGGCCAGGACATGGTTGCTAAGATCAAGAGGCTTCGGGGAGCTGGATATAGAAACACAGCCTTGAGAATGACTCAGGTCCACTGATGAATTGATGCTGTTACTACCAATCTCTGTGCCCTGTGGTGACGTTTCCTGCGATCGTTCCTGCGAAACAGAGTCAACTGTAGGAATGTGATTCTCAGTTGCTTGATGCTTGTCTGGAGTCTGGAACGTATGCCGAGATGGGCTGCAGCTGTTGTGTAAAGCTAAATTGGAGTTGGGCAGTGTTGAATGTCTCAGTAGAGGACTTGATTTAGTAGACTGAGGACGCGTTGGAGACTGCACCGATCTGAACTGGGAGGAAGTCGGGGGAGGAGAAAGCGGCTGAAGCGCCGACGGTAGAGGATTAGTGTTACTGGTTCGGCACGGCGACCGAGCCTGTGAGTGCCTGACATTAGAATGAGAGGCGGGAGAAGAGGGCGACCGTCTGGGGCTCTGCTTATTAGTGTGTCCACCTCCTTCATGAGAAACAGATCCTGGCTGAGCTGAAGCAGAGCTGGATGATGAGGCCTGCGCGTTCTGCACACTGAGCAGGCGCAACAGAGCAGACAGAGGCTGAGTTGGAGGATCCAAGCCAAGAGGTGCATGTGTCAGGCCTGTAGTGAAATCCAGAGCCTCAGTTTGTCTAGGAGGCCTGGAAAGGTGTGCCATCTGTCGAGAAACAGGGAGCCTTGGCGTCTGCCCGGGGAGAAGATGATGATGATGGTTTTCTAACATGACAGCATTCTGGTTCTGCACAGCTGAGGTAGAGGAGGAGTGCGAGGAGGTGGGGAAGGAAGAGGAAGAGGAGGACAGGTTGATAACTGTGTCTCCTGGTGGGGTCTTCTGCGGCCCATTAGCCAGCTGCTGGGTGTCTCTTAGAATGCTGAGCACTGTGGGAGATCGCCGTTGCCTCTTCCTGTGCGACGCATTGCGCTCTGTTGTGGGAGGTAGGTGGGGCAAGGAGGAAGCCAGGGACTGGGCCAGAGAGTGGGATGGGGGGAAAAGGACGGAGGCTGCTGCAAGGGAGGAATGGGGAGGCCTAGTAGAAGCTTTGGAGGAGGGAGGGTGGCTACTATGTAAAGTGCTGTTTGTTACCTTGGATGACTGTTGCTGCTGTCCGTCTTTCAGAACCTCCAGAGAAGCGGGCAAGCTCACCAGGTTGCTGGCCACCTTTGAGCCCTGGCCTTGGGTTATCTGGTTAGCCAGCTGAGCCTTGGCAGCCGCAGAGAGCAGGCTACTCGCAGGGAAAGAAGTTGGGTTCGACAGCTTTCCCTGATGGCTGTGATGTTGATTCAGAAACGGCCCCAGAGGTAAACTAGAAGTCCCTGCGGAGTTCAACCCAAAACCTGGTGGAATCGGACTCATGGTACTCTTTGAGGGCTTTGAGGAGGGAGCATTAGGGTTGCTACTGCTTTGGTTGGTCAGTAAGGAAAGGTTCGTAGGGACTAGGAGGTGGTGGTTATTAGTGCTGCTGTTGCCTGAGTTCTTAAACTGCTCCAATATGTCTTCCAGCTTGTACTTAGGGAAGTGGGGGTTGGGGTTTGGGGAGCCACCGGGGAGAGGGGAGTGTGGAGAGGAAGAGGTGGATTTCCTCCTCTGAGGCAAGTTACTTCCCATCAGTCCTCCTCCCTGATCAGAGAGAGGGGAAGGAGAGGCTGAAGGGTGGCGGGACCGCTGGTGAGGAGACACACAGTTCATGTTGTGAACAGAGGGAGAGAGGGAGGGAGACGGAGAGAGGGGGGAGCCTCCCACAATGACACCATGAGGATGATGAGCGTGCGTCTGTGCTCCTCTTCCTCCTCCGCCCATGCTCATAGGGGAAGAGGGGGGAGGCGTAGAGAGGGGCCCTAGCCGAGGAGAACCCGGAGTCTCTGGGGTTTTGGGAGTTCTTTGACCTTGAGATGTGGGGGTGCGAGGTGATCTCTGGGCAGGGCTGTACGCTGGGAATGAGGAGGTGGAGGAGGAGCTGGAGGAGGCAGGAATAGGAGGAGGATTTTGAAGCCTTCTAAAAGCATCTAGGGGTTGGTGAGAGTTTGTGCCTGTGTGAAGGACAAGGGAGGAACCATTGTACGGATAAATAAAGTGGTGGGAGGATTTGGGGCTGGCAGAAGGGTTGATATGGAGGTTGCTGTGGGGTCGAGCTGGGACCGGATGGAGTTTGGGATGGTAAATGCTACGGTCCTCTTCTTCCCGATCCACAAGTATTCGCTTTGGATTGCGGCTGTCCACTCCGCTGCTCATCTCTGAAAGTGGACACACAGACACATATGGGTTATGGTGAAGTTGGTTTCCCTGCTTTCAAAGCAGATCTTGCATACAGTCTATAAACTAAATACTGAGAATTTAAATTCTGATTGAAACCGTTTCAAATATTCAGTAACAATACTTTGATATTTTAACACTTATGTGCACTATGGTGGATGTGTGTTCACTGAAAGCACATTGTGGACAAAACAACCAAATAATTAAAAGGCAATTGACATGCATTTTGTCAAAATATAAATACAGATGAAGACGGATTGACAGGACCACAAAGACAGTACTATTCTGCTGAGCACCGTAAAACTATGGACCTGTTCAATATATTGTTAGGTATAAACTGCAGTAACAAATTTAAGCAAACAAAGTGTCCATGAAACGTCCCCTAATCCTTTTTGCTGAATATCTTCTGTCTTCTTTTAATTCCGCGTGGCTGACAGCTGCTGCACTGACCAGCACTCGTTGTTTTAATCCCACACCCACCTGCTCCCACAGGATTTCCAACAATCACTGACTGCTCTGACAAGATACCCCATCCCACTCCCGCCTACTCCTGTGGTGATTCGGATCACACACAACATCCAAAATGTTTCTGGCCCTTTTTACAGGGAAATAAGACACTTTTAGCTCTTTCAGTTCCTATTGCTTCAAGCTAAATCCATAAAAGTGTATTCAAACATGGATATGGAGCACGTCACCATTTTTCAGATAACTAATGTTGATTACCATATCAGAGACACAAACCAGATGGTTAAGTGTACGACTTCCAAGGAGAGAGAGAGAGAGAAAGGAAATGGGAGACAAGACAGCGAGGGAGAAACTAAACGGAAACATCTGAATCTGTCCTCTGAAGGCATGTGGTTTACTGAAGGACAATGAATTTTCATTAGTGGTGTAACGGACCACTGTTGATCCGGGATCCGTACGGATCCCCCCCCCTCACGGTTCGGCACGCATGTGAACCGCAGATTAATAACACAGTTTAACGTTAACCATCACAGTAAAGTTTTCCTGACGATCATTATCCGCCAACATTCAGTAAAATCTGCGATCAGGACATCGGCATTTATGCTTTTTTAGTTGCCTATCTCTGATAATGTTACATTCTAAAAAACCAATCCGCGTTTAAATTGACAGGAGAAGAGTTTTATGATCCACTAATTTACATGCATGGTTAAGCCTAATAATAACAGCCTCTCATAAATTATATATTATCTCCAATTCATCCCATCACAATGTTGATACTGACAAAGCGCTCCCACACAAAGTGAATTTGTGTTGGTGCTGCGGGACTTGTGAGCTCATAGTCCCATAAGAGCCCTCTACATGAGGCGAGTACTACGCACACAGCACACTCAACTCAATATCAAAACTATGTAAATCAATCTAACACACCTGAACTAGAGAAAACTTAACAATAGTGATGATGCTGATTAGTATCCGTTTAGGAAATCAGTAGGAATTTGTATAGAAAAGCTATTAATAGATTTGTTTATGTTTGAATAGTACACAGGTACAGGAGTCAAACTTTACCTGGATGATGAAGGTTGGCGAAGGGCAGCTGTGAGGCCTGCATACTCCGACACAGAGCAGCCATTGCTACCACTTTCCTGCGGTGGTTACACAGTTTGGTCATGTCCTGCTCTGCTTTGCCTAATGGCTGGCTGTGCTGCTCCACCTTCACTCCCACAGTGAAGCTGAAAACCTGCAGGACACCAGATAAAAGAGGATTGGAGAGAACTCTTTGCATAATGAGAGAAATCTGAGCAAGATCTTTGCTAAACATTTCATCAAACGTATGACCGTTAAGGGCACCAGTGAGGGTATTTTACACTTATAATATGCACACAAAGATTGTTGCTTATTGCAGACAAAGTGCACTCACATGTTTTATGAAGAAAAGGTCAGCCATGATTCTACACAGTTGGACAAACTTAATTCAAAAAGTTAGTCATAGGTATTTAATCTATAACACCTGTGGGGATGTCACATGCCTGCATCTTCCAGTGCTGCCAATGAGTACAGACTCTTGGCATAAAAGAAAACAGTAAACTTGAGTCAAACTCACTGAAGTGATATTCAAACACAATGCCTGATATTTGAAGCTTGTTTATAAGAGACGTTTTCTACCGCAATATCAAAACACATTGCGATAAACAAAGCAGCATGTATTGACATCCTGCGTGTCCGAACAAACGACGCTAACCCACCACAGTGGTCAAGTGAGTATGAAGAGGCTCAGAAGTCATCACCATGCTTTTATAAATACAAGTTCACATTCAAGTGTCACAGAGTTACTACATCGAAAAACTCAAAAGTCCAGATAATATCTGGATATACTGTATACTGAATGTATTTTGTCTGTGCCCACCCTGACCACACACAAAATGGCTTTACCTTATTGACGATGAGCGGGCACTCAAGACCACATTTGCAGGTGCCATCAGTCAACAGATAGGTCTTGACCTCGTCCAGAGAGCATAGAGCAATGCCACTGGGACTATAAACAGAAGACAGGGACAAACTGTAACAGAAAACTCAAAGCAAACTCAAAATATATACGAACAAAGATATGTTCAAAGAAAAACTAAGTTTTAAGTTGCAAAGCTCAGCACACCCATTTTAGCCCAGGTAACAATTTAGAATTTAGAAATGTAAATAAAATCCTCTTAGATCTGGGAAATCTTAATTAACACAGATTATGTGATGCCACCCCAAAACGTTCAGCATACATTAAGTATTACAAGAGAAGAAAAATCTTTAAAATAGAACAAAGTTTAGTAAAAAGAACAGATTCTGCAGCCCACATCTGAAGCGGTGAAAACATAAACCTGTATTACAAACCGTAGGAGTTTATTTGAATGTGATCACAGTTTCCTGTCTCCAAGTCATCTAGTCGGACTTATCTGATCACAAATCTAGGTAATGGCCCACATGTGTATAAGCTGTTTATACATTATATTATCAAGCTCATTGGTGCTTGTACATCAACCACGCTTCTCTCCATTTGACTGGCTTAAATAGTACAAAGAACCGTCTTCAGAGAACCACAGGTCCTAAACAATTTCATATTTTCTACACTTAAAAAGATCCAAGCCACTGTTCAAAATAAAATGTGGTGCAAAACCAGCATTCCTGTTTCTCCAGATTAAATGATACACATACATTAACATTCATCCATGCATGTATGTATGTATGTATGTATAAGCAGTCACATTAAATCAATGTCTTCAAATATGAATAAACATCAGCAATAAGTCTGCATATGCTTTCTGTTCAACTGGACCAACCTACCTGACATAGATCACCTGCCCGCCCTCCACTCTCCTCTGCCAGCCGATGGGGACGTGTATTGCAGTGGTGTGGACCCCGTCCTTGTCCCCGCTGACAGTCTCACTGCCTCCCATCATTTTGTAGCTGCGGCCTGCCAGCACCTTGGGAAAAGCAGCAAAAGTGTTGATACATCTTTTCTTTACATGCAAGTGAAATTTGTTTAAAGACCCCAGGGGGTCAGGATTATTCAAAACAAAATGTATAGTCGGTATCACAATTCAATAATCACTTTACCAGAGCCTAAAATAGTCAAGGCAAATGTATTTGTATGGCCGAAAGGATCACAAGAATACTAATAATAATACTAGTTATTATTAATACTTTGAAAAATGTATCAGTGTCCTTTGTCGCACCTCACTGTGAGTCTCTAAATAAGTTAACACATGGATGCATGCATAAAATGGATGAACAAATGTCTTTGCTGGGAAGTCTTCAGGATATCAGTGTTATAACCTGCATGCTAAATGTGTGGGCCACGTTCATCTGACTACACAACACCAAATGTTAGCGTGACAAAACATCAAATACTACAGTGTGACCATGATGACGTCAGCCTAGGTTTACCAGAATATTGAAGGATGCTATACAATAAGGGCTGCTAATTAAATGTATTGCACTATGCCAGTCAATGTAAATTACTGAGACTCTACTTACCATCTGTCCTCAAAGAGGTCTGGCAAAGTGGCTAACACTTACTTCTTTATTTTGTGTGGTCCTGACAATTCAAGCGAGTGTGGTCTCTAACATTTTTAACCCAAAATATGGTATAAACACATGTGGTGAGGCCACAGCAAACGGAAAAACAGATTTGATGTCAGGGTAAAGTAACCAAAAATAGAACAACTGAAGCACATTAAGCGTACCTTGTCATCTTTGAGAAGCCAGGATCCGTTTCGGCTAGGGTATCCACTGTCCAATGTACATACTGGTGGGTAAGAAGCACACAGACTGCCAGTAAAACCTGACTTGATGCCCAAAACACCTGGACGGGCAGATCCTGAATTTAGAGGATGCTTCTTGTAGATGAAACGGTTCAGTTCACATCAGAGTAGGGTCTAGGATGAAGATAAAGAGCCTGTAAAGAAAGGTGGAGGTGTATTATGTAATGTGACAGGGACGACCAAGGTAAATACCTCACGTGATAAACTATTCCCTGCAAGTGATGAGATCAAAGCGTATTTGTGAAAGAAAAGGATCACATCAGATGCATTGCTCTCTCAAAAGGAATACAACTTCACAGCAAGCTGCGGCTACTTTGAAGTGGGAGGGTGTGTTTGGATAGGCCCGTGGTTTAGTGGATGTTTAGCTAACGTTACAAAATGAGTAGCTGCCCTTGCAACAAACAACATACAAGCTAACAAGCAAGCAACATGAAAATAACTTAAAATACAATCTTGGTGTAAATCGTAGTTGCGCTTAGTCGACAGATCTGCAGTATGCAGCCATGGTGCAACATCTCACCAACTACACGACTGATACAATGCAGGCTAGCAGCTAGGCTAACTGCTAAGCTAGTAAGCTACCCTACTTTGTACTATGTTGTCGTGACAGCTGTCAGGCGCACAAAACACTCCGATGTAAAACTCTTGCTCGTTAGCTACGGTTACAAGAAACGAGCGAGACACAATACTGATTTGTAAATAAAAAAACTCTTTGAATTTGGTCAGATTGCACTTACTTATTGACAGCCGTTAGCTAACGTTAATGTTAGCAGGACCTATCAACCTTTTCTCTGCGTCAACCGCTCTGTGTTGGCGAAGTTTTGGAGTCTTCGCTTTTCTGGCTCGCGGGAGAATCAAGAGTTAGCTGGTTAGCTAATGGACTAACCAGAGAATGTTTTGAAAACGGCCGATACTTTAATAAATAACCGTAAAATATAAGAACACCATGATTCAACCCGCGTATTAACGCGATCAATCAGCGCTCAGCGTTTATGTAATGTCTGCCAGTCCGATTTAAAAACAAAGGGCAATAACGCTTCATTTTACTGCGCCTGGGGTTTGGGGGCTAACGCTACCAGCTAGGCTAGCAGAGCTAACTGACTGAATTTACTTGATTCTGTAGGGTCCCAACAAGACTGAAGGATGTCCCGCTCCCGGTGCACACTTATCCAGCCGCTGTTTTGGTCTCTGTTTTGCTAAACCGTCCAGCATTCAATTGTATTCCGACAACCATTAGCGATCCATGTAATCCCAAATTCACAGTTTCCCACTGTTTTTTTTTTTACAGATTCCGAGCAAAAAAAAATAATGGAGTTTTCTGTTGCGCATGCGCATTCAGAGCTCAGGGAGTATTGTACCCAACATGCAACGGGACCTTTGTAGTGTTCCAGACAGATCAATGCAGAGCTCCTTGATAGAGGACAGAATAACAACAGGCCCGTGATACGCGCCTGCTGTTCACAATAATTGGTCATACGACATACCCAATTATATACCCATGTTTTTAAAGTGTTCTATTTATTAATGCATATCATATTCATCTCTGCTTCTAAGAGCGCTCCTTCATTCCCTGATTATCCCAAATAATTCCACCATGCATAGGCTAAATTCATTTTGATTTATATAGAAAAGTCTGTCGAGGCAGTAAAGTTATTGCCTTGTTTGTGTGTTTGTTGGTGTCTGGGCATACTATGATTTTGGTTAAAGACTGAAGACTGAAATAGACAATTTAGCAAAGCAGGCAACTGCCTGGCCCCCAACAGTGAGGGAGCCCAGAGCCTTCAGGTTCACCACATGGCAATTAGTCTTCAGTCATTAGATTATTTACAAATGTGTTTGGTGATGCTGTATGTAGGCCTACAATTGAAGCACAATATAAACTGAAATAATAAAGGCCTTAAAGTGACATCTGAATCAATACTCTTGTAGACGGGGCCCTCAAGACTGAGTAAATAAGTAGCATGTATCAATTCAGTTTATACTGATCTTACATGGTGCAAATTCCTAAATATAACCTTATTAAGTCACCAAAATGTAATTTCTAGTCATTAACTAATTCATACATACTGCACAGAAGGTGGGGAAAAGGGGTGTTAAGGAAAGGCCCACAGCTCATGTTCGACCCGAGACCCCTGGTTGGTTAATCTGGACCTGATTTTGGTGACCTGATAGTGTTCCCTCTAGCACCACCACCAGGACAAACCTTCAACTTTCAAGTGAATCATTAGTTATAAACACACATTTGTGGGGCAATTTTATGCTCCCAACAAATATAAACATTTGTTTTTTAGATTTTTTTAAGACCCAATGACCCCCCTAAAACCTCTCAAGACCACCGTCAGGGTCACTGGAACTTACAGGGGACTTAAACAGTGATGTAAATGATCAAATAAAAAGTTCAACAAAAAGGTGACACACAGGTTTGCGCATTGTTCTTGGTCTCCAATCGATAAAAGTATAAGGAAAGTGAGCAGTATGGAGACAGAGGGACAGAAAAGTATCTGATTTCTCTTCGTCATCGGCACTCACACTGAGGTCCCCAGCTGTTGCAAACAGTCAGCTTGACTCATGAGTGCTCAGCCTAGCACGCACACCAACACACATACAAGCATGCACAAAATCATACAAAAGTACACAAAAACAAGACATAAGTGTCTCACCAGAGCCTCAAATCACCTTGGAAATCACATAAAAAAGCTATAAAGGGAATAAACAAAGGCCCCAGACTTTGTGAAAGTTGACACATAATTCTGAGGGCCATCAGTGAGGAGGCACATTGGTCGGCTGGTTTCAGACCCACTGGTTGTCTAGCGCTCCAGTCATCGGCAGCAGGTGAAGGACTCGTTCACAGAGAGATTTACCCACACTGGATGTTGTCGTTTCTTCTCTGAGCTGCGTGAATCTTGACAAAAGGTATGTTCCAGTTTGAAGTTTGAGTTATTCCATTACAAAATGTGTTTACATGACAAAAGCATGCGAGTCAGTTTAATCAATTTCATTTCAGCAAGGTAGTAACATAAAGCTTTGAAATATTAGTTGAATAACCAGCAATATTTTGAATGTTTTTGCCTATTCCCAAAAACAGATTTTTATTGCCGTCATACTTTTGAGAATTTTGCTCTTCTTTCCCTGACTGGCACATTTAGCTGTGATGAGATTGAATTTCACAACCCTAAAATAGTTTGGGTAAAAGTGGACAAGGGCACTTGTACAGTGTGTGTCTCTGCCAGTGCATAGCTTGATGTAACTTTTTTTGGTTAATACAGACACAAGAATACATCCTGTTTGCGTCATTGTATGTGCTGTGTTTCTAACAACACTGTGCTAATCTAGTTTCCACATGAAATGCTACTTTTTTTAAGTCATAAAATATAGAGCCAAAATTAATTTAATACATTTTGACTGGGTGCCACGCTAAATACAATGTTATTTCATTCTGTTGTGTCTCAATGAACACTTATAAATATGCACATTTGACTAGTGGTACTTTTTTTACCAACCATGCCATATAACAATTGACATAGTTAAACACAGACTTTTTGTAGGCACATTATTTGAGGATTAATAGAAAAAGACAGAAGTTTAGTTCTTTAATATGGGAGTCTACTTCCCACATCTCTCAAACCAGTTTTAAACAAACGTTAACACAAACTGTTCTTGTAACAGTCTGTAACAATTTTGTCATGTCTTGATGCCTTTTTTAATCGTACGATTATACATTATCTGTGTCTATTTATCCTCTTCTGTTGATGTGTGGACTAGTTTTTATTCTGTAATTTATTGTTTTGTTTTTATTGTATGTATGAATTCAACATGCACTCAACGTTTAACTTTTCCACCTTCTTGGCCAGATCATCATTGTTGAAGAGATTTTATATCAATTGGTTTTATCTAATTAAATAAAGGTTAATCCATTATCCCGCTGATCTGCATGACTTGTTGCAAAACTCCTCACAATCATGTGCTTCAGAAAAAACCTAACAAACTATATATGTATATTTATCTTTGTAGGTGGGGCAGTAGTGACTTTATCCACCAAACAACATGGACCAGTGAGTATATTTCCTGTAATAAGTTCAATTACCTCTACAATACAAATGTAATGCTTGCCCTACTTTTCCTTCCTGTACCTCTTCCCCATCTAGTCCATCAAGTCTCCATTCAAATTCAAGTGAGCTAAATGTTACAACAGTCAAGAGTGAAAAGCACAAAAGCCTCCGAACCAACGCAGTCTTTCTACAGTATATTAAAATACAATAGTGATAAAGCAGCGACATGTTCATTTGAAAAAATGTGTCATAGGAGTCTCCCAGAATAAATAATCAAGACTCAACTATTTTGAGGTGGAATGGTAATTTGATATCGGCACAAAGCATGTCGGTTACATCAGGTCACTCCGTGAGGTTGTCCTGTGAAAACATTTTAACCCAAACTTTAAAATGTCCTATTTAAGCTTTACATGTTTGAAAACAAAAGAGAGGGAAACTTTTCACAGGAAGGTAATGATATGAAGCTATGTATGCTATGTTAATGCTATGCTATGTAGATCTAACTCATGGCTTTGTGTTTCTTGTCTTTGTGCGTGTGTGTGTGTGTGTGTGTGTGTGTGTGTGTGTGTGTGTGTGTGTG